CGGCAGGCCCTGGTGGGCGTGGCGGCGCCGGCAACATGGCGGCGCCCCAGACGGTGATGCTTCCGGACAAACTAAGGTAAGTTGGGCTGAGGGAGATGAGCTGGTTAGAAGCGGGGACGGAGCGGGCCGAGCCTGGGCATGGAGGGTGTGCAAGCAGGAAGGAAAAGGGAGCTAGCCGGCGGCCGCGGCGGCTCGAGCCCTCCCGGGGCGCTCTCCTGTCCCGGACGTCGGTGGGCTCTCGGTGGGCTCCTGGAGGTGAGCAGGAGAGCAGGTGGCGGGATGAGAACACCTGCCATCTGGGCGGGAAAAGGCGATGGATGGCAAATGCATGTTCTGTAAATAAAACACGGGGAGCAAGATTTCACTCCCCAGCGGCCGAGGGATTTCCTGTCATTGGGCGCCAAGGAGAGCGGAGCCCAGGCAGGCAGCGCCTCAGGTGCGGCCACTGACGCTGAGTGTGCTTGTCTGCTTTTCGCAGCCACAAAAAGTACAGGGCCGCCCTGAAGAAGGAGAAACGGAAGAAACGCCGTCAGGAACTCGCTCGATTGAGAGACTCAGGTAACCGGCCTCTTACTCCGTTTTCTGTGTATGAATGAAATTGCTCTCCCACTGCCTTCTTAACTTGCCCCTGTCCCTGTCAGAAGGATGCTGAGAATTGGATCTGGTAGGAATTGCTGGGGCTCCTGCTTCCCAAGTCAAGTTAGGTTAGACCCATGTCGGAAACCTTGTTACCCTACTGCACAGGAGGAAAAGGTCTTGGTGAATCATCACCCACTGATTGTGTGTAGGTACTTAGGAACTATCTAATATTACAGGTGCACACATCGTGAATTACAGCAGCTAGCACAGCCCTTGCACGTATTCAGTATTCGGTGAATGTTTTTCTTTGCAAAACCAGCAGGAGTTGAGGATTTTAGACATTTTGCAAGTTTCTCTCAAACTTTAGTAATATGAGACCCTTGGTTGACTCAAGTTGTTATTGATAAGTTATTGAAATATATAAGCATAAAACTAGTTACCTATATATATATACACACAAAATCAAGTGAAATTACATATCCAGTAAAAATCACATCTACATTAATGTGATGTTACAGATGATGGGAGACAGATACAACATGAATATGGCACTGATTGGAATTTGAAATGCTATTACTAATACTATTGCCCTGTGGTTACTTTTCTGTTAAAATACTGTGGAACATTCATCTGTACTGGCCATGGTATCATTTGTCCTTCACATGGTGGAATATAACATTTATATATTAAACCTGTCTGTTTAATATAATGAAATTAGTACTACTAACTTAGTTATAAAATTATATAGTAGTTACAAATGTAGATGGAAGCACTGAAATACTGGACTACTGAGCTATAATGGTTGCTGTACAGATTATCCAGAATATGCTTATTAAGTTATTCTGACAGTTCTTGAAGTTCACAGACCCTGGCCTTAAGTAACTAGGATTCTTGGGCCTTGAGAAACAAAGCCATAGAAGTTTTATTTACCACTGGAGTTGCCTAGTAATTATTTAGAGCAAACATGTTAAATTCAAAGGCTAACACAGGCCAAATAAATAAGGTTTAAGTTTATGTGGGCTGCAGAAAAACCAAAAGCTTCCATTTTCATAGAAACGTAGGTTTATTTCAATAGAGACATGCTGAATACAAAGGGTTGCAATAAATGCGTAATCGTTAACATAAAATAATAGAACACTTTAATAAAAATTAATATCTTTTTCTTGAACATTACTTTACCAGACACTGAATTACTGCACAAATTAATAAGCGTAACACAAATAAACCTATTTTTCTTGTTCTTGGAAAGAGCAGTATTTCCTGTTGCGCACACCAAAAAAGTCAGTCCAAGACTAATGGCATGGCCATTGGCTGCTAAAATATTCGCTGCTGGTATCAGTGGAGAGAAATGGCCTGCCTGCATGTAAGGGGAATGAATGCAACATGATTAGTTTTGGGGCAGTCTTGCCTAGTCCCAATAGGGGCTGATTGGTGATGGCTAGTCAGGGGGAGGGACCGTGGGAGTTTGGCTGGCAGCGGGGAGGCACTGTGGGAGGATGGCCAGCCTTGGGGCTCCCGCTGTGGGAGCACACTGACAACCAGGGGGCAGCTTCTGCGTTGAGCGTCTGCCCCTTGGTGGTCAGTGTGCATCATAGTGACTAGTCATTCCGCCATTTGGTCAATTTGCATATTAGCCTTTTATTATATAGGATTTCTTACATGCCATTATATTGGCTGGGCCACAGACATATTCATCGTGGGCCGCATGTGGCCTAGGGGCTGCGAATTTGACATGCTTGATTTAGAGGCAATGCTTGGAATATTTAGAATGGAAAAAGTGTGTTTAACTGCAACCTTTGTTAGCACCTCCTTTTTTATTCATTTAAAACTGGTCCACTAGAGGCAGGATAAAGTATCAGGGATAAAAGGAAAAACAGGGTGAGTTCAAGTTATTGATGCTGTTAGTGATCTCCCCACCCCCTTAAAGTTCTCAGCTACCTTTATTAACCTGTTTTCTTCTTACACTTTTTTTAAACCTCTTATTTTTCTTTCCATTTTAAATCCTATAGCTATTGTTTGTATTGCATTGGATTTTTTTTAATCCCCTTTGACTTTGCAAAGTGCATTGGGAGTGAGCCTTTGTGGAGAGGCGGTTCATTATAGCACATATTAGATGGGTAAACAGTGCCCAGAAGGTTAGATTATAGAGGTATTCTAAAAAATTGCTGTAAGAGTGAGTTGACAAATGATTGGTAGAAATTCCTGGAATGTCGGCCTCTCAATTACACAGTCTCTTTAGCACCAGCTTCTACTTAAAATAACCTGGAATGAGCTGCCTTGTCAGCAAGTTGTAAAACTGGCATGATTCCATACATAATTGCATGTATAATACAGTTAGATATATTGTATGATCAAATATATGCAAGGATACATATATGTAGAGAATAGGCTACACCCAAAACTGTTAGTGATCACCTGGAGTGTGTGAGCTTGGTTTGAGGCACGATGAGGAGTTGAGCGAATCAGGCAACAGATACTTTTGCATATTGGCTGTGTCTAGGCCAGTGGTCAGCAAACTGCGGCTCGCGAGCCACATGTGGCTCTTTGGCCCCTTGAGTGTGGCCACGAAGTTTCAATTGCACTGTATGTGCACGCCTATATGTGGAAGAGCCACACTCAAGGGGCCGCAGTTTGCCGACCACTGGTCTAGGCAGTGTCTAGTCCAGCGGTTCTCAACCTGTGGGTCTCGACCCCTTTTCATTTTGATGCTCAGATTGTACCAAAGTTGGGCAGTTAGAGCCTTATTATTAGAAAGTTTTGAAAACAGGACCATACCATAAATGTAAAAATTAAAGAATGTATCTGTATTTTTTCCCTGTAATATTGACTAAGGTTTTGTTCTCAAATAGTTTAATAAAACATTTAAATTCCCCCAGGACTCACACAGAAGAAGCAGGAGGAAGAGGAGGAATCTTTTATTGAACAACAAGAAGAGAAGCTGTTGGAGAGAGAGAGGTCAGCATAGACTGAGCACTTCTTGTGAAGCCAGTTATTTCATTTGAATATTATGTCTTTACTAAGGAGTATGGGTCTTTTTTCTAGCACCCTGTCCAAAATAAGTCTTATCAAATACCTTGGATAATTAAATCTCTAGCTGACAGGCTATAACTAGATGTTGTCATATTTTTAATGGAAGTATTTTTCTCTTTTTGCTACTTCATAAATGTTTTTGGAAGAAATCCAAATAAGAAGTGTAAAAAGTGAAAGGGCGTTAATGAACTCAACACACCCAAAGATAGTCACTGTTAAGAATGTGAAAAAGAGCCATGGTCTGTGTGGCTGAGTTGATTGGAGCATAGTCCTGTACACCAAAAGGTCATGGGTTCAATTACCAGTCAGGGCACATATCCAGGTTTCAGGTTCAATCCCTGGTCGAGTGCCTACATGATTCACCCAGTCCATGTTTCTGTCACTCTCCCTCCTCCTTCCTCTCTAAAAATCAGTAAAAAACATCTTCAGGTAAGTATTAAAAAAAAGAATGTAAGAGAGAAAGTGTACATGTATTTCTATAATAGCATGATATTTATATGTTTTCTGTACATTGCTTTTTTTGCTAAATATATAGGTCATTTAGTGTTGATGCAGAGATCCAATTCAACCAATTCAATGGCAACATAGTATTTATTGTATAGATATAGCATAATTTATTCTTTATTCATAATTTATAATTTACTAATGGACATGTAGGTAATTTACTATTAACTAACATTTGCTTACTATGTACTATTAATTTACATTCAGGTTTTTTACTATTATATAAAAAGTTGTATTTAAAAAGGCACTGGCTGGTGGTTCAGTGGTTAGATCATTGGCCAGAGCACTGAAGGGTCACAGTTGGATTCCCTATCAAGGGTATGTACCTCAGTTGTGGGTTTGATCCCGGTTGGGCAGCATATGGATGCAATTGATGTTTTTCTTTCACATCCGCCTTCCTCTCTTTCTGAAATCCATGGAAACATGTCATCTGGTGAGGATTTTTTTAAAAAGTTGCAGTGACCATATATATCCTTGGTAACTGTCCTATTATTTCCTTAGGAAAATGCCTGGAAATGAAATGGTTGCGATCAAAGGATAAATACACATACAATGTAGATGGGCAGGTAGGAAGGGCTTCCCAGTTTGCAGTCTGCAGCCCCTCCAACAGTGAATCAAGGTGCCCATCTCCCCATACCTTCACTTGCACTAGGTATTATCAATTTTATAAACTCCTATAGTCAAAAGTTGTATTTCATTGTTTCAAATGTACATTTCTTAATTAGTAGGGTTGAGTATCTTTTTATATATTTTATTACATATTTATAGATTGCTTGCTTAAGTCTTGCATATTTCTCTTTTGTTACATATTTTTTAAGTTTGTTGTGTGAGCAGTGTTATTACTTGATTAAAAATATTCTTTATCTGTCATATGTGTGATGTATATTTTTTCTCATTTGTCATCAATCCTAACTTGGCTTACAGCATTAATTACCATCATTTGATTTTTATATTGTCAACTTTCATCATGTTATCTTGCCTTGGTGTCTGACTTAAAAAAGGCCTCCCTCATTCCAAGATGCCAAAATATTGTGTGTTTTATTCTCTAGTATTTTTCAGGGGGTAGTTTTGTCTTTGTTTAAGTTAAACATAGTAATGTGAATGTGCTTAATGCTACTCACTTGTACACTTAAAATGGTTAAAATGGCAAATTTTTATGGTATATTTTGCCACATTAAAAAAATAAAAATGTTTTAAAAGGAGAAAAAACTTTATAGACACTCTATATTTAGTATGTTCATTAGAAATGTTGCTTCTTATAATTAATTCCTGATATCTACCTAATTAGATGAATTGATCAAAATGCCAAACAGAAAAAAATGTAATAGTGATTGGGAACATGGAGTAGATTCAGCCAGATCTGCATTTCAGGCCTGGCCCTGCTACTTAATAGTTGTATTCAAGTTGCTTAATCTCTAAGCTTCAATTTCCTTGCCTTAAATACAGAGATAAAGTCAATCATAGTACCTACCTCATAAAATTGGGATAAATGCATAATACTTAACATAGCGTTAGCAGATAAGAGGTGCTGTGATAACTCTGGTTCTTATTATTATAGATTTCTGTTATAGTGCTGTTACACAGTTGATCCTTGAACAACATGAGGGTTGGGGGCACCGACTCCCTGCACAGTCAAAAATCCATGTATAACTCTCAACATTTGCAGTATGCCAGTCTCTATCATGGCTAAAAGACATGTTCCTAGAATCTGCAGTTGGAAATGGAATATATTTTCCCCATAGATTATTTGAAATTGTGACTAGGTCCCTAGACATAAAACCTTATTTAACTCCTAATGTTGCTGAAGAGATGTAGAACAATTTCTCATATTTCATTTCCCATTTCGAGATTCCATGGGGAAATGCAATCTGGATTCTAAACACCCCCGATTGGCTAATAAACTTTTGAGCCATAACCCATCTTTAAATTAGAAACTTGTGATATTTGATGTCCAAGACACCAATTTAAGATAGCATCACTCTTTATAATTGGTCATTTTTAAAATAAACTAGACACCTGCTAATTTATTTTTATAACTCCTTGTCATCTTTTCTTAAAACTGTAACTTTCTTCATTTTAAAGACATGATGATTTAGTTTTATTTTCCTTGTTTCAGTTGTTTCAGTGCTTGTGACAAACCACAGGAGTCTCTTAATTGTATATAGTAGCAGTCCAAAGGCTTATGGCAGAAGATGCCAGTTTTCCCTACTGCTGCAATCCTGCAATTGCCACTTTTAGAATGTGCAGAATAGGAAGGGTAATACATTTTGAATGTGAAAAGCTATATGTGGCTTTGAAACTTGTTACTTGCTTTATTGGCATCTAAACATCACTATGGTCAACCGACTGGGAAGGTTGTAGTGTCATTGTTTTATGTGAGAGATGTCACAAATACAAAATGTAGTAGTGATTTTAAGCTATTGCCTTCTAGGAAGACAGCTGCTGAAGTAAGTATAATGCTTTTCTAAGATCGTTACTCATGTCTTCTGACCTTCTTACTCCCACTTAACTGCTTTCTAGAAAATGTCTTTCGTGATAGTTTAATCATTTCCAAACATGCCAATTTTTGCTATTATGTGTGTGTGTATTTGTAGATTATTGCCCATTTCTTTTATTTGATTGCATTATCACATTTATAGGCAAAAATTACATGAGGAGTGGTTGCTGCGGGAACAGAAGGCACAAGAAGAATTCAGAATAAAGAAGGAAAAGGAAGAGGCAGCTAGAAAACGGCAGGAAGAACAGGAGGTACAGTATTATCAGACAACTAGTTGACTAATTAACCCAAAACTCATTAAGAGTTATAGATCTTGAACTTAAAAAAAATGGATATCACTCATTTTATCAGTGTTGTAAAAAATTGTTTTATTTGCCCTGTATGTGAAATGTTTTAAAAAGTAAGTCTGAAAAAATATTACTTTTCCTTTTTTTCCCCCTGTAAAGAGAAAGTTAAAGGAAGAATGGGAAGAACAGCAGAGAAAAGAGAAAGAAGAGGAGGAGCAGAAGCTACAAGAGAAGAGAGAAAGAGAGGTGAATCCAGTCACAGGAGGATAAACGCACTGCGTATCCTCTTAGTGAGCTGATGTGGCAAGTGATGGGGTTGAAGATTAAGGTATAGGCACAGCAGGGCTTGGGCTCCAGTTTTTTGCTTAGAAAGAGTCATGTTTTTAGTGAAGTATACACTAGAGGTTGCTTCTGGTGCTCTAGAGTTTTTCATCTGTGCATTGGTGGATACTTTAATTAAGGTTTTTCTTCAGCTTTACCCATCTTACCCTTTTTACCAGGGATTGGCAAACTCTGTAAAGGGCCAGAGTGTAAACATTTTAGGCTTTATGGTTCATACGGTGTCTGTTGCAAACACCCAGCCCTGCCAGTGTGCTGTGAAAGCAGCCAATAGATACTCTGTAAATAAATGGTTGTGGCTATGTTCCAATAAAACTTTATTTTTATTTACAAAAACAGGCAGTGGGCCCCTGCTTTATACTATGTACCACTGTAGAGCAAATGCTGTTGTATATGGGTTGACTTACAGAATAATATTTTGTATGGTTTTCACATTTGATTTATAAGAGTTAACTGCTTATGACATGTCGGCAAGAATTAGTTGATTGAAAGAAATCAGGAACTCAAATTTTGAGGAATTAGGAAGGTTTTTTTGTTGTTAAATCTTGACTTCCTTTCTATCTTGGGCTATAATACAATTGTAGCTAACACATAGTTGCTCATTTAAAAAATTTTATAAGGTTATATGTACATATCTCCTGTCTGTATCTTCAGGATTCTTTTTAAAGATCTGGTATATTTTGTTGCTGTTCCTTAACAGTGTATTTATTTCAAAGATACCACAGTTCATCTTTCCTGAGTCATTCATCAGGATGTATCTTTTCTGTAATATTGCTGGGTTTGATTAGTATAAAATTGGGTAATTAATCACTATATCATGGGGAAAATGCATTTATTTACACCCTAGTCATGATGGGTAGAAGCAGCCTTTTTGACCTTTGCTTTTTGTGTTTCAGGTTCAGGCTATCAGTTAATTCCAGTGCAAGTTTTTTTAGACACCCTTATTTGAGCACTGCTTTCCAGATTAAGACAAGACCACAGTAGTTTTCTAGGGGCAGGGTAGTTGTTTGGAACTTGTCATTTTTTAATAGAGAGTAATCAATTCCCATTTTAGTAGTAGAATGTTCTTTAATTTCAGTCTTTCTGGCATTAGATAAAAGCTAAGGCTTTTTAAAAAAATACTAAGGCATTTGTTTCAGAGGAAGTCTGTTGAGACATTAAGGAGAAAGGGGTAAAATGAAGTAGATTCTAAGCTTATAAAAGGGAGATGCAGTCTCTTTCTGCTTTGTGCTAGATACTTCTCTAGTGGATAGAGATAAAGTATCAAAAAAGTCCCTGCTCTCATTGAATTAGTTTTCTAGAGGGGAGAGCTGGATGATAAGTAAGCAAAAAAAAGCTTATTTTAAGTGCTATAAGATCATGTTAGGTGCTGTAAAGAAATAAAGCAGAGTCATGTGATAGAGTGATGAGGGTAGGGGAGTACTTTTTTAGATTACCTGGTCTCTATGAGGAGCCGATTTGTCAGCTGATACCTGAATGCAGAGATCTCAGGGAGAAAAGGGGTCCAGGCAGAGGGAAGAGGCCTGTGCTTGGAGTGGAAAGAAGGTCAGGGTACCTTAATCCCAGAGACCAAAGAAGAGAGTGGCAGGTGGAGAGGTCAGGAGGGTGGGCAGGGTCAGATCATGTAAGACCTGGATTTGAAGGAGGAATTGGGATTTTATATTAAAAGTAATGGGAAGCCATTGAAGGTTTTTTAAGCAGGGAGTGACGTCATCTAATTTATATCTTTACCTTTAACAGAGCATTCTAACTTCTGTATAAAGAAGGGGGTAGTGAGCAAGGAGGCAAAAGTGGAAATAAGGTGATCAGTTAGAAGGCAGCTGTTCCAGATAGGACATGGTGTTGGTTTGGATGAGGGTAGTGCTTAATACAGAAAAGTACACAGTTTTGGGGTGTGTTGAGGCAGAGTTAATAGGACTCTAGCTGGTAGATTGAATGTACAAGGAGGGGAGCCCTGGCTGGCTTGGCTCAGTGGATAGGGCAACAGCCTTCGGATTGAAGGGTCCCAGGTTCAGTTCCGGCCAAGAGCACAGGCCTGAGTTGTGGGCTTGATCCCCAGCGTGGGGCGTGCAGGAGGCAGTCGATCAATGATTCTCTCTCATCATCGATGTTTCTCTCTCTCCTTCTCCCTTCCTCTCTGAAATCAATAAAGAAATATATTTTTAAAAAAAAGAAAGGAGGGGAGTTTAAGTCATACACTTGTAGGTTTTTAGTTTGAACTGAAATGGGGTGAGAGGTAGGGAAAAAGTAGTTTTCATTTGATCTTTTAAGTAACTAAGGACTCTTACATGACCAGGTAGAGTTATTAAGAAAGAAGCTAAATAGATGAGTCTTTTATGTAATGCTTCAAGGGTCTGGGGAAGAAAAGTCCGTTGACCATAATTTCAAAAACTTGTTTAAATGCCAATGAAGTCAAATCTATTGGCATATTGCAGGACTTCCTTTGCCTTATTGAAAAGTTTGAGATTTTTCATCAATCCTAATTACTACTGTTCATGTCACATTTTAGCATCTATTAAATGTTTATGATGTTTCTTCTACCATTGTGTTTTATAATATTCATAATACCTCATCTTAAAAACTAGAACATGACATATATGCTCAGATACACTAAATATGACTGTTACTGTTCTAAGATATTTTCAATATTTTTGCAATCTGAGCCAGTAAATGTCCTATTTGAATGAAAACTCAACTTTGAAATCTTTTCAGAAGATTAGTGCTGTAGAAAGCAAATTAGAAACTAAAACTTTTTGTATGAATGGGTTGTTAAAATTTTTTCACATGAGATTCTTAACCAGAGAAACCAGATGTGACTTACCTGACTTCCAGGTTTTCACTAGTCCTATGTTTGCACCATTTGTAGGAGGCTGTGCAGAAGATGCTGGAGCGGGCTGAAAATGAGGTATTTTCAAAACCTTTCGTTAAGAATTTGAGACTAATGAGCATTTCTTTAAAAACAATACTTCCAGCAATGTTATTTTTGCGGTTGGCTCTGTAGATCATGTCTAAAATATCTGGGGTCACTTTTGCACCTCTGTGATTTATGCAACAACAAGAACTGCAGAAGTTAATCAATGAATAAAAGCAAATGGTATTGAATCACCCCTGTGGGCTGTACTTGTTTATACTCCTTAATGTATGAATAAGGAACAGCATACACTCTTACCCCCTCCCCCCAATGGACCCTTTACCTTCCTGCTTCAGAGTAACCTTGATTTCTCTCAGTGGTGGGTCTCTAAAACAGTGGTTCTCAACCTTCCTAATGCAGTGACCCTTTAATACAGTTCCTCATGTTGTGGTGACCCCCAATTTCATTGTTACACATTGAACATAATGAAAGCATAGTGATTAATCACAATAACAGTATGTAATTATATATGTGTTTTCCGATAGTCTTAGGCGTCCCCTGTGAAAGGGTCATTCGACCCCCATAGGGGTCACGACCCACAGGTTGAGAACCGCTGCTCTAAAACCTCCTTCTGGCCATTTTCAGAATGCCTGGACAAAGGGAAACCTTGATGACTGCTCTTGGTCGCTGTAGTGATGCCTGATAAGGGTGGTGACTGGGAACCAAGAGAGACACACAGCTTGTGTCTCAGCCCAATTGCTTTTCAAGTCTCCATTACATGTTACAACTTAAGTTACATGGTACAACTTAATATTACTAAGATAATCCATCTTTATTTTTGACCAAAACAGTTGAATACATTTTAAACATTTAATTCTTAATGGATCATGGTTATTTTCAACAGTTGGAAAATAGTGCCACATGGCAAAACCCAGAACCACCCACGGATGTAAGAATAATGGAGAAAGATCGAGCTAACTGTCCATTCTACAGTAAAACGGGAGCTTGCAGATTTGGAGACAGGTAACTAATTTTGCTTTATCATGTCAGAATGAAGTGCCTCAAAATGTCGAGCTTTTTGAGTTCTGTATTTAGGGGTGACTTGGGCTTGAGTTTGAAGTGTTCACAGTCAGGCATCTGCTATGTTCTTACTGCTTCTCCAGTTCCCCACTGTCTGTTCTCTGCTTCCCCACACATACCTTACCCCTACCCTCTAATAAGGGGTTTAAGGCTGAAATGAGTGAATGTAGAGAAGCAGATAGAATAGTGTCAGGCAAATGGCAAGCACTCTTGGAGTGTTTTTTGTTATTGTTGCCATTATTCTCTGAGAAACTCTTATTCCCTGCCTCTTTTGAATCACTGTTTTTGAAACAAGACATTCATGTGGAAAATTAAGTGTTGATGTCTTCATTTAGCAATGTCTTCATACCTACTGTATGCCAGGCAATGGCGATTTTTATAATTTGGCCTGTTTATGAATGAGTAACTCAAATTAAGTAAATAATTCACAATGATGAATGAATCCACCCAAGGCAAAGTCTAATTATTACTATGCATTCTGCAGAAGAAAATTTCTAATCATATATTAGTGTCCTGTTAATTCCAAAAAGGGATATGAATAGTCAATTTTATACGTATTCGATGAGAAACTATGTTGTCTCTTGTGTTTATCTTATTCATAAAATTATCCCTGCCATGAGATAATTTCCTTCTTTGAAAATATGAACCTTCTCTATCTTTCTCTTCTATTTCTTTTTAAATTTAAGCATTAATACCATTTTACATTTTTTTAAGAACAATGGTCCTCAACCCTAGATGCACATTAGAATCACCTAGAAAACTGTAACAAAAAGTATGTCCTAATTCAATTTGAATAAATCAGAGTCTCTGAGACTTGGGCAGCCTTAGTTTTGAAATGTCCTCAAGTGTTTCTAATGTCCCCCAGGATTGAGAGTCCCAAATGCAGGGTGGTTAACTCCTTTTATATTTTATAATAGGATTATATATGCCCAGAAGATCTTTGAAAGGATTCACAGGATCTGGTCAATAGTGAAAGTTTCCTCTTGAGGAACTGGGAACTAATGAAACTATTTCCCTTTGTACTTTTACAAGTGTTTTCCAAATGTATGCTCAGTTTCATCAAGAAATAATAATGATTAATGTAAAACACCAGTGTGCAATTAAGACTCAGCATGAGTTTATATTTGTGTACATAGTTGAACCAGATTGCATTTAAGGTCTTCCAGCTGCAGGTTTCCTCATTGATGAAACATATCTCTAACATTTCCTTGAATTTTAAGACTGTGGTCATCTGATTCTGGGATTCTCCTTCTGTTGGGCATAAGATAGAAGGGAAAATGTCCTAAGTAGTTTCAGGAAATCAGTTGACAGTGCTTATTTGAAGAAAAGGTTATGGCCTATCAGGCTTTCAAAACTCACCCCTGAGAGCCTTTTCAAGGAAATACTGACAGTGGTCTGATTGGTTTGTGAACATTTCTTAATATTTTGATAGGCATATGACATTTTACCATCACAACTATTTAAAAAAAGTAGGACAGCAATTTGGATATTTTCATTGTTCAGGTGGTGAGTTGTGAAATCAAATTCTAAGAAATTAGCAGTTACAAAATCCAGCACCATCCCTTCCAACAAAAACACTGTGCCCTTTTTACAGGGAGCCGTAGGGACTTGCTCTGGATCGCACAACTGTTCTTTTCTGTTGAGATCTGTCACATCATCAGTCAACACTTCCGTAGCCTAAGCATTTCTTTGGTTTTTCTTCCTAAAAGAACATAATTACTGATGAAAGGTAAAACTTATCAGAGTAGTTATTTATACCTCATGCATTTAGGAAATGCATGAGATATAAAGAAAACTCAGGGTCTCCTGCACTATTTAATAAAATAAAAGAAATCAAAATTAAGGAAAGGAGGAGAGAGTGGGCTGTGAATGTGCAGAATATTTGACACTGGATTTGAATATATCCCAGGCAGATGATGAACTATATAGTTCTTACCAAAAAGGAAGAATGAGCAGTATCTCTGGAAAGGCAGAAATTTTCCTGGTATTGGATTCTGAATGTTTCTCCCATTAAATACTATGTAAAGACATTGAATAGGAAGGTAAACAATAACTTTGATAGATGTTTTGTTAACAGTTGCATATGTAATTTTCATGAGAATGTTTCTTACAGAGACCTTCAATAAATGATTGCAGCCTAATTGCAGTGTGTGTGTGTGTGTGTGTGTATAAAAGCCTAAATTACTATTATGACTGGTTGACTGGTCAGTGGCTATGACACGCACTGACCACCAAGGGGCAGATGCTCAACACAGGAGCTGCCCCTTCGTGGTCAGTGTGCTCCCACAGCCAACCTCCTGCAGCTGGCCAACCTCCTGCTGCCCCCCCTATCCCCCCACTGGCCGGCCAGGCCGAGGGACCCCCCCCACACCTGTGCACGAATTGTGCACCAGACTTCTAGTGTGTGTGTGTGTGTGTGTGTGTGTGTGTGTGTGTGTAGAGAAACAGTGGTGGTGGGTACCTGGAGTGTTCCCTTGAAAAGAGCAAAAGAGGTGCCATCAGTTAGCTTTACCTGAGGGGCATTTGGAGACCCACACCATTTATTGGCTGTCCTTGGGGTAAGGTAATGTTAAGGTATGTGATTTTGTGCCAGTCTTACTTGATTTAAGTATCTGAGTAATGGGTAAGTGGCATGTTCTAAACAAGGGGTTCTTAAACATGGCTGACCTTCAGGACCAAGTGGGGAGTTACTTTGAAAATATGGGTCTCCCACTCTGAAACCCGAACAGATGATCCGTGTGCAGAAGAATCATACAGGCCTGGTACCACAGCATTAGAGTGCTTTTCAAATCTCTTTTTATTTTAGCTGAGTTCGGTAGGAGCTGTAGGGCTGGCCTTGAATATACTCAGATTATATGGCCTATCTCCAGGCCAAGGGGACGTTTTCCGTAGATGGGAACTTTGGCTCTGTTCCAGAACTCACAAACACTCATTTGACACCTTGGGAACTAAAACCAAGTTCATTTAGATGTAATAAACCCATGAGCAGGATGTTAACCTTGTTAAATTCGTTTCTTGTTTAATTCTGCATGTGCTTCATACTTGTAAAATTCTGATTCAAGGCTAACACTGCCAGTTAGGTTGAATCATTGCTCTTTGTTCTGTTGGTAGCTGTACTTGGGAAGATGGATCTCATCAGAAGGTCCCTAACTGAATAATCTAGGCGGGTCTTTTGGAAAAATAACATTTCACATTAATGAACACTGACTGCACATTTCTGAGCTAGGCACGGTGTGTGTGGGCATTCTGTGTGCAGTATCTCACTAGGTGTACAGATACATATTGTACACATGGAAAGTGAGGATGAGTTAAACATTTAGTCATTTTAGGGCCATTATTTTTCCCAACACATGCCTAGTTCTTCAGCTTTTTTTCTTTCTAAAAGTTCTGGGTTGTTTTTTTTTTCCTAAAAATTGTGCCCTAATCAATTTTATAACTAGAAACCTAATCAGGAAAATTTTGATGATTTGGAATTGTGAAGTACATTTCTCCCCCCTCATTTTATTTTAGGAGAAGGATGTAAATAAAAAAATAAAAGATATTTAAAGAATTATTCAGGTATGGACTGGTCCAGTTTACACAATGAAAAGAAAATTGTTCTTCATAATGGTTAGTCTTCTTCAATTAAATAAAGATTAATTACAGTTGCCATACCATTTATTGAACTGTAGGTTAACTCAGATCTCTTGGATCCTTTCTTAATTATCAGCCATGTGACTTGGGTAAGTGCTTGCTTCTTTGCAAAGTACAGAGAAATACTAGCCCCAACGGTCCCAACAGTTTGCAAGGATCAGAGGGGGAAAATGTAGAAATGCCATGAAAACTTATGTTATACATGTATGAGGTTGAAGTACTCCATTAGCTGGCAACTCTTAGATTACCCTATTCTCTAAGCATCGGGTTAGTTGAAGATTGTCTAGAGCAGCCGTGGGCAAACTACGGCCTGTGGGCCGAATCCGGCCCGTTTGAAATAAATAAAACTAAAAAAAAAAAAAGACCGTACCTTTTATGTAATGATGTTTACTTTGAATTTATATTAGTTCACACAAACACTCCATCCATGCTTTTGTTCCGGCCCTCCAGTCCAGTTTAAGAACCCATTGTGGCCCTCGAGTCAAAAAGTTTGCCCACTCCTGGGCTAGAACCAGGATTGTATTGTTCTCACCTTCCTCCTAAGTCCCACATGGGGTACCGAATGGCAAATGAACTTGGAAATAATTTTTGCATTTTAATGGGAATCAATATATTGCTCAGTCTTAAAACAGTTTTCTTAAGTATTGAAAGTTGATGTCTGAATGGATTTATTTTACAATTAAGTCAAAACAGCCAAGTTACTTGAGTCTCAATCTCCAAATTTAATGCAAACACTTTTATGTGTAATTTCTAACTATTGGACTACTGAATTTAAACTTTCCTTTCATATGCAGGTGTTCACGTAAACACAATTTCCCAACATCGAGCCCCACCCTTCTTATTAGAAGCATGTTTACAACATTTGGAATGGAGCAGTGCAGAAGGGATGACTATGACCCTGACGCCAGCCTGGAGTACAGTGAAGAGGAGACCTACCAGCAGTTCCTGGACTTCTATGAGGACGTGCTCCCTGAGTTCAAGAACGTGGGGAAGGTGATCCAGTTCAAGGTGGGCATGCACAGTGCGCATGAAGGAGGAGATTGGGTCACTTCCCACTGAAGTACCCAGTAGGACAAGAGAGCTAGGATACAGGCTTTCTGCCTGGGTCGGGGTGTGTGCCATGGTACAATGCCTGGCCCTGTGTAGGCCACCCAGGCACTCAGTAAATGTTAGTCCCTTCTCTTGGTAGAGGTACTACATGAACTCATGTACTAGCATGAAAGTTCCTGGGTGTCAGGGACTAGATGGGAAAGGCTTTCATCTCTTCATGATCTAACTTTTATTGTACCTTTATGATCTAACTCTCCTAGCTGGTGAATTCTCTGCAGAAGGTCCCTACAGACAGTAGTACCAGCATTCAGTTAAAGGCCGCCTATGATAGAGAACATGCAGTACCTCCCTTTCTCCCTCCCTCTGTGGGTAGTGGGTCTCACCTAGAGCTGCAGTGTGCACAGTGTAATACCACTCCACTTACTGAGTTTGTTGTTATATTGTTGCATTGTATTGATGGTGCCAACCCAGGTACATGTTCTTTTTTTTTTGGAAGTACACTGGAACATAGATCCTGATTCCTTTTCTTTACATTATTTTATTCATTGGATAATTTCAGTACTGAACATAGTATTCCCAAAGTCATGGTTTGTGGTGCAGCAAATGGGATGAAAAAGAGACATTCAGATTGCACAGAATTAAGGCAACAGGAAAGTCAGATGTAATAGCCACTGCTCTCAGGACCTGGTAGTGGAATCCTATCACAGTGAAGACTCCTACTTTGTGAATGATCAGATCCAATCCTGAATGATTCTGTTATGTTAGGGTAGGAAAATGTCATATCTTTTCCCATAATTTGGGAAAAGATAAGAATAAAGTTGTTTTTTTTTCTGATTGTTGGAAATGACAGTTGGAATAACCAAGAGTAGAGCAACTGCTAACCAGCAGTACTTGTGAAATTCAAAGCTATACTTATTTCTACCGATTTTAAGATTTTAAAATGTTTTTCCCCCCTTTGCCTTTTATTTCTGTTTTGCATGCCTTTCTGTCTTCACACTACTTCTCAGCACAACCAATAAACACTCAAGTAGAATTGCCTGGCCACCCACAGCATGGAGCCACATTAGTGCGGTTTGGCTAGACCTGCATTCTGGAACATGACACCTTACCTCTCCATGCCTTTACCTCATCCCGAAAGCGAGGGGATAGGACAACATTAGTGGTTTCCCTCTCGGGATCCCTACATTACACTGCTCCATGAAGTCAGTGGTGGAGCCACTTTCAAACTTCAGGCCAGCCCAGCCGGTGTGGCTCAGTGGTTGAGCATTGACCTATGAACCAGGAAGTCACAGTTCAATTCCTGGTCAGGGCACATGCCCAGGTTGCAGGCTCAATCCTCAGTGTGGGGCATGCAGAAGACAGCCGATCAATGATTCTCTCTCATCATTGATTGTTTCTATCCCTCCCTCTTCCTCTCTGAAATCAATAAAAATATATTTAAAAAAACAACACACAAAACTTCAGGCCAGTTAGTGGAAATCACACCATTACCTGCAACTAGCCACCTACTAACCATGGTGTATCTGTTTTCTTTTGTTTAGAAGTTTATCAGCCAAGGTCATGCTAATCACATTGATAGTTATAAATGGAAAGGTGTTTGTTTAGTAAATTTTTAGTAGGAAAATTTCCAAAACATTAAATTTATCATGGAAAATTAATAATGGGTCTTTGTGAATCATTGTCTTAAGTTAGCTATTCTCAACCTGTGAGTCGCGACCCCTTTGGCGGGCGAACGACCCTTTCACAGGGGTCGCCTAAGACCATCCTGCATATCAGATATTTACATGACGATTCATAACAGTAGCAACATTACAGTTATGAAGTAGCAACGAAAATAATTTTATGGTTGGGTCACAACATGAGGAACTGTATTAAAGGGCCAGAAGGTTGAGAACCACTGGCTTAAGTAATCACTAAGGTCCCTGGTACAACTGATGTGGCTACCCAAACAGATCCTGCCTCTTTTTGGGTGGGTACTCTAATAAAAATACTCTAGAACAAATTTGTAAAATAAAACATTTATTTTGAAAATAAAAGCTGAACATTACTATGAATATTTGAGGACCTTTGTATACCATTATATAAAACCAAATAAAAAAATAAAATAGCCACCTGGCCGGCGTGGCTCAGTGGTTGAGCATCGACCTATGAACCAGGAGGTCATGGCTCGACTTGCCCGGGTTGTGGGCTTGAGCTCTCTGAAATCAATAAAAATATTTTTAAAATAAGATAACCAAATTAGAAATGTCATTTTCTAAGGCAAATGAACAAATGTTCAACCTAACTAGTAATAGGAATAGTGCATATTAAAATGACAGATTATTCACACCTTATCAGGTAAAATATTATAAATTCTCTTAATACCAAGACTGGGCAAGGATGTGTGAATTAGTAAAACCACTTCAGAGGGCAGTAGTTGTCAGTACATAGTGAAGTTGTAGACTTACAAATCTGCACGCTACTTGTGTGGTCATGCACACAGGAGAAATCCATCCACCTACAGACACGTGTTCCAGAATGCTGGCTGCTGCACTGTTTGTTGATGAAAAATTGGAAGCACCTTGGATATGTCATTCGAGGAGTGGACAAATTGATTTGCTAATTTGATATATTCAGTATACAGTAGTTAAAATGAGTCCTTAAGTTTATGGAATTACATCTTGAAAAAAGGATGTGGAATAAATACTATTTATGTAAAAGTTTAATATGTGCAAAGCAGTGCTATACATCATCTATATATATATATATATAGATGTTTCTTTGCATATGTATACATAAATATGTGTATGCCCATATATGCATAGTAGACATATATTTCTGTGTGTGTATGTGTTGCTGTGGATATTTGTGTGTGTATTTATGTTTGGAATGTGAAGGATATGCCCAACCTTAGGATAGCGCCTATGTATGTGATGGAGGAGGGAGAAAAGGATGGAAGAGATTCAACTGGGTCTTTAATGTTTTACATATTTAAATATTCTCTGTCAAAAAGGAAAATGTCAGTGTTAAATCTGGGTGGTATGTAGATGGGCTGACTTTTTTTCTCGATTTCTGTGCATATGTGAAACATTTCACATTTATGGGGGGGGGGGAAGATCTGGATGAACAGGGATCATCTAATTGGGGCCTGCAAAACCACTCTGTGCTGAAGTATACCTTATATAGACGTGAGAGTGGGGTAGTACCTCGATTTTGGAATCTTCTATTAATAACTAGTTTTCATAGTGTTGACCTGAACAAAATGTATTTAATGGCTGAAGGGCTTCTTTTCCTTAGTTTTTTTTTTAATGATAGAATTCTTCATTGCTCCTTAGGTCAGCTGCAACTTAGAACCTCATCTGAGGGGCAATGTGTATGTTCAGTACCAATCGTAAGTATTCTGAACATAAAATGTCTTCACAGTTTGTCACAGTATAGTGTTGTGACTATGTTGGTGTCTGGGATTGTTTCCACGGAATAAAATAGCTTTCATATGCATGGTATTTTTTTAAATATATTTTATTGATTTTTTACAGAGAGGAAGGGAGAGGGATAGAGAGTTAGAAACATCGATGAGAGAGAAACATCGATCAGCTGCCTCCTGCACACTCCCTACTGGGGATGTGCCCGCAACCAAGGTGCATGCCCTTGACCGGAATCGAACCTGGGACCCTTGAGTCCGCGGGCCGATGCTCTATCCACTGAGCCAAACCGGTTAGGGCTGCATGGTATTTTTTTAAAACGTAAATATTAAGAGCTGATATAGAAATATAGGAGGGATTTGAAAATAATACATTTGGATTTCATTCTTTGTATAAGTACATAGTTTTGAATCTTTTGTAATATAGTAATTTTTTACTTATAATTTTAATAATTAAAATACATACTGAAAGGGATAAGTAGAATAGAGGAAAGTATAAATCAAAAGAGCCAGGAATTGAAGCCCCAAGTAATCTCTGTGTAGTTAGTGTATCAATTCTGCTTGTTTTGTTGTTGCCTGGGCCACACCGTGGCTAATGAGTTAATTTAACCGTTGTAATAAGAATAGTGATCTTAACTGAGAAATAATTGACACTGATAATGGGAAACACTTCTGCCTTTTTAATGGTCCCATCTTTTGGTTTAAGAAGCTTTGACTCAAGCCAGTTTCCATGCATCAGAGCCTCTCAGAGAGTTGGTAAAAAGGGTTCCTGAATAAATGGTGAGCTTCAGCAGCTGGAATGTTCTAATGAGTACTCTCTTAGTAGTGCAAAAGCAGTAAGCTTGGAGGTCGTACAATAAACGAATAAAAGGGTTTGTTAACAACAGCATTAATCTACATATTAGAACATTACTGTAAAGCATGTCCTTTAATTTGTGGTTCAAAAGGGAAGAAGAATGCCAAGCAGCCTTTTCTCTGTTTAACGGAAGATGGTATGCAGGACGACAGCTTCAGTGTGAATTCTGCCCAGTGACCCGGTGGAAAATGGCAATTTGTGGTAAAATATAACATGATGATTTCCCCCCAGTTATTCTGTTATATAAAAGGAAATTTTTAGTGAAAAAAATAATATTTTAAAGAAGTCAAGCATAGCTTTTACCTCACACAGTAAATGAGCCGAGATCATTATATAAAAGACATTACATTTTAGATCTGTAACAGACCTTGTGTGTCTCTTTGTGCATGATATGATTGAAGTCACAGTGTATTGGTGACAGAGTTGGGCTAGAATTGGGTCTTCTCGTCCTCAGTGCTGGGGCCCTGTGTCTAATACTTTAAGAAGCCTGAGAAGTTGTGGCCCTGGAAGCCACCTTTCCTTATTGCGGTTTCAGAGGTGTTTGCTATTGATGGCTCCCCTCACTTAAGCTGTGTTGTTTTCCCCATCTTTATCCCTAATGAATCTTTGCTCATCTTTGCCACCTAAAATGTTACCTATAACATCCCTTGCCTTACTTGAAATACATGCTTTTGTGCAGTAGATCGGTTCTAGCTGTGGGATGTGGTGAGGGCACATTCAGTCAGACTGACTCATCGACAGTGGCCCCAAATCAGGAAATGAGTCAGTCCCTTGAGAAGCCAGCAATTTTGATGGCCTTGTTCTTTTTTATTTCTCTTGGATGGGCTTATCCAAACTGTATTGCTAAGGTACCGGAAGCAAAGAGATGGAGCTATTTGTGTCTTAAGGTAGCACATTCCTGATCCTTTACTGTTCTTTGCTTTACATGTGTCTGCTTAACACCTCTTATTTAAAAATACATAATTTACAAAGTCTGAATCTTTGGCAACCTGGTCGTAATGGATGCTGTCACTTAAAAACCACTTATTGAAGAGGGGGAAAAGATTTTGGAATCCCTTGCTTTGGAAAACGAGAAGAATCATTACACCTTAAGTTTAAAGGCTTGGGGGATGAAAGAAGTGGGCCCGTTTTCTCCATAAAGGTGTTTATTTTTGTTAGTTCTGGCAGTCCAGTATGGTTTCACTGAGGTAATTCCGAGTATGACTTTGACTCTCCCAAAGCAGGAGACTATTTCACTTGTGTTTTGTTTTTCAAAAATAACAGTTTGGTTATTTTTCCCATTAACTAGTGATGTTGAGCATTTTTTCGTGTCCTTGTTATTAGCCATTTGTCTATTTTCTTTGGAGAGATGTGTATTCAGATCCTTTGCCTATTTTTTATGTAGGTTACATGTCTTTACTATTGAGTTGTAAGAGTTCATGATTTATTCTACAGATAAGTCCTTTATTAGATCTATGATTTTTAAATATGTTCTCCCATTATGTGGGTTGTTTTTTCACTTTGACGGTGGCCATTGAAGCACAAAAGTTTTTAATTTTGATGATAACCCATTTATCTAATTTTTTTTCACTTGTGCTTTTGCTGTCATATCTAACAGTCCATTGCTTAGCCACGTGTCACAAAGATTTTACTTGTATGTTTGCTTCAAAGTTTCATAGTTTTGTGTCTTACATTTAGGACTCATCCATTTTAACTTTCTTTTTGTATATAGTGTGTGGTATGGAGGTATTTCTATTTTAACTGTTTTACATATTTGGGAAATTTACTGCTTTAAAAAAAAAAACTTTAAAGACCCCAAAAAGATTTCTGAGTTGTTCAACTGGATTTCACTTTGACAAGAATCTTCCATATTAAAAATACTTGGTAAATTTAAAAGCATTAGGCCAATGTTTACCATCTTCTTCTTAAAGTGTTAATTAGGGATCTACATTGTCAGTGAGTGGGATGGTGAAATCCTAGAAAAACTTGGAGTTACCACTTGTGTTATTTGCATGCCAAACAGTAATCCAGTAGAGAAATGGGATATCCTGGCTAATTAAGATTTCTGATTCGTTACTTTTCACAGTGCCATTTGTTAGAGCACTTGAATATATTTGAAATTCTGAGAACCAAAACTGACGTCAATTTATGTTATCTAAATAATATAAAGAAGAAAATAGTTCTGTCACGTCCAACATAAGAAATGTACTTTCTAAAAAGGATAAAGTGCCAGCAAGAAATGCTATTTCCTCACTTTGCCGTTGCAGGTTTATATGAAATACAGCAATGCCCAAGAGGAAAACACTGCAACTTTCTTCACGTGTTCAGAAATCCCAACAATGAATTTTGGGAAGCTAGTAGGGACATCTACCTGTCTCCAGATCGGTCTAGCTCTTCCTTTGGTAGGAACTCAGAGAGGAGAGAGAGAATGGGCCACCATGATGAGTACTATGGCAGGCCCAGGAGGAGGAGAAGCCCCAGTCCGGCCCGTTTCTATAAAAGAAATGGAGAATCTGAGAGGAAAAGAAGAAGTACCCACAGGGATAAGAAGTCTCACAGACACACACCAAAAAGTCGAGAAAGACACAGTTCACGAAGCAGAGAAAGAAAAAGGGACCGCAGCCGGGGCCGGAGCAGCCGGAGCAAGAGCCACCGTAGCCGAAGCAGGAGCCGGAGCCGGAGTCGGAGTCGGAGTCGGAGTCGGAGTCCAAGCCCCTCTAAGTTCAGAAATTATAGTGGGAGAAGGTCAGGTAGTAGAGACGGAACTAATCATAGTCCCAAATCCAAATAAACTGATTGTGTTTTTAAATGATTGCATATGTTATTTATTATGGCTGCTCCATACCGGGGTGGAGGGCTCTGAGTTTAAGTGAATTAGCAAGTCTGGTAGAACCCTATTATCATCTGTAACTCTATTTAAAAATATTAGCACGGCTGGCATGGTTCAGTGGTTGAGTGTTGACCTATGAATTCCTGGTCAGGGTAAATGCCCATGTTGTGGGCTCGATCCCCAGTAGTAGGGGGCATGCAGGAGGCAGAGGATCAATGATTCTCATCATTGATGTTTCTTTCTATCTCTCCCTCTCCCTTTCTGAAATCAATAAAAATGTATTTTAAAAAATAATCTTTTTCTAATAACATATGCTTCTTTTAGAAAACTTAAATGTATAAATAACATATTACTTGTAATCCTAACCCTTAAAGATAGCCAGTTAACAATGGAGCATTACTTTAGTCTTTTTTTTTCTCTTCTTATGGGTGTGTGCACATTTTTTACACAAAGAACATAGATGGCTGCAGTTGAATATGCTTTTTGTCAAACAAAATATTGTCATACTTTCTCAAGGCCAATTCTTAGTGTTATTTTTACTCACTGCAAGAGTGTGGAACTCTTAATTTATTCAACCATATCCTTGTTCGATTTTAAAGTTATTTTAACTTTTACACTATTAAAGAACCCTGTGCTGTAAAAAATCCTGTGGTAGATTTCCTTTCATACATTTCAGATTATCTCCTTAGGATAAATTACATCAAGACATATGAATACTGAAGTATTTCTAAATTGCCCTCCAGAAAAACTACACAAATTATCAATAATAAATTTTGCTATTCTCACATCCCACATTAGTTTTCACCAACTTGTTAAATTTTATGTGTTTAACTTTGTTTCTGTACACATTGGCTAAGTAAAACACGTTTTCTATATTTAAGGGCCATTAAATTTGGTTGTTTGCCCTTTATTAATAATCTATTGGATTTTTGTACATGCAATAGTTGAACAGTTTGTTTTACTTTAAAATTCACTTTCTCAGTTTTAAAGTACTAAAGGGTAGTCAATTTTTTTTTCTGCCTCCCTCCTATCCCCTATTTGCAGTCCCTTCTCAGCTAGAGGTTTCCCATTAGGGTGTTCATCTTTTTTTATAGTATACTGGAGAGTTCTCTATATACAGATAAATTTTTGTCATTTTCAGGAAAATTGGAGTCGTTGCTATTGAATATGCATGGTGTTACAGTTCTGGTAGAAAAAAAGTGGTCTATTTTAAAAGCTTAATGTAGGGGAGGCTGGGGGAAGGTCAAGGGGAAAAAAGGGAGACAAATGTACTATTCATAATATTTTAAACCATAAAAAATGTTTAATATATTGTTCTTAGATTTCAGATCATAAAAGCTTTCACGCTTCCTCATAAATTTTTAAATTTTCTTAGTAACCTTTCCATTGACATACTAGGGATCTTGAATTTCAGAGTATATGGAAACAAGAACTTAAGGATACACAAAATAAGCGAAGTAATTAGGAATAGAAATTTCTTCAAGATTGGCATTTCTGAGTGATATCTGTTGAAAAAGCTCTTTAACCTGTAGTCTATAAAAGGAAGTATGTGGTCCAGAATACATTTTACTTTAAAAATTGATTTGCTTCAGGCTTTAAATACATTTTGCCATAAAAATAAGTGTAAATTTTTTGTAATTATTTACAGCAAAGCATGTCAAACTCGCAGCCCGCAGGCCACATACCTCATTTACTTGGCCCATATTAGCCTTTGAGTTTGACATGCTTGATTTACAGGATTCACTAATGCCAAATAGTTATCACCGAATTCAAAAATTTTAATAACTTTCCTAAGTACAGCCAAATTATACACAATTAAAGGTGGTATTCAAAGCTGAACAGTCTTTAATGGATAATGGAGGGGAAAATGTCATAGAGGTTAAACACCAGCTTATGCTCAATCAAGGTTATAAGTTATAGTATTAAAGGGCAGCATCATATGGAGGGGAAGAAGCAGTTTTTATATGTTTTTATTGATTTCAGAGAGAGGAAGGGAGAGATAGAAACATCAATGATCAGAGTATTATCAATTGGCTGCCTCTTGCTCCTCCCTCCTCACTGGGGCTTGAGCCTGAAACCCAGGCATATGCCCTGACTGGACCTCCTGGTTCATGAATTGATGCTCAACCACTGAGCACACCAGCTGGGCAGGAAGAAAGTTTTTAAACCACAGACCAGTTCATTATCCTGAAAAATGTCCATCTTAAATATTAATGTTTTTGAACTTATAACCTAATTACCACTTATAATTCAAAAATTCCAACTCTACCTTGATCACAGCCCAAGGGCCTGTTTTCAGTGAATAAATAGCAATGTGTTAGACTCTTATCAACCTATGGGTTGCGAACAATGAAAATACATCCTGCATATCAGATATTTACATTACGATTCATAACAGTAGCAACATTACAGTTATGAAGTAGCAGCGAAAATAAATTTATGGTTGGGGGTCACTACAACATGAGGAACTGTATTAAAGGGTCGCGGCATTAGGAAGGTTGAGAACCACTGCTTTAGAGGCTAACAGGCTCTTTAAATCGAGAACTATTTTTTTTTTTAGCAGACTAGCAACTTAATTTTATGATAGTTGTTTTTTTTCTGGTCCATAGATATTTCTACCTTCTCCCCCCCCCTTGGGCATGTACTATTTGTCTCTTTTTGTTTGTTTCCTCATTCTTAAATATTTATCTTTTTAGTATCTAACATTCCCCACCTGTACTATGAGTGTGCTAGTACCTCCAGTTCATGGGATCAAGGGTGGGGGGACCCAGTTGCTTTGGAATACATTTTATTACCTGGAGTAATAGGAGTTGCTCATTCCAAAAGAGTAGAAAAGTCAAGTTCATCAGGTTTTAAAAGCGGCATTTATTGATTGAAAATAAATGTGCAGATAGGCTCTCTGTAGCATGGAATCCACATTATTTTTTAATGAACTTGAAGTATATGAAGACTCCTTATATCTTCCATTTATCTTGTGTGTGCTTTTAACAACCACCACATTCAAATGGAGGTGAATTTTCAACGTTACTGAAAAAAGACCTTAGAATTTTTCCTTCAGCAACTCTCCATAGTTTGACAAGTTTTTGGAAGAGATAGATAAAAACACACTACAATAGTGTACATTGAACATTTATTACAACTAATTGGCGATGTGATGAGACAATGCACACATGGCCTGAATATTGGTCACAATCACAAGAAAGCTTAATCCAGCCCAGCAAATACAAATGAAAGTGTAAACCGTGAAGATGTGTTTACATATGGAGTATGTATAAAAGTGACATTGAAATAGCTCTTAAAAATATAGGGCCTACTAATGCCATTTTACCTCATTCAGCTCTCACTTTTATATGAAAGATGGTATGCTTATATTTTTATAAGATTTCTCATAACTATTTCTCAATGCTATTGAAGGGCAGGAAGCTCCCTAAAGTTTGCAGCACTTCTAAATAGCAGGAAGCAATAAAGGAGAGCAAAATAAATTTGGCTGCAACAAGCACCCCAGAAGGAACCTTAGTGCTTTAAATGACATAGTCAACACTGTGAAGAGAGTAACATTTTCCATAAGAATCTGTCATGAAGAATTCCTGGCAAGTCAACATTCTATTTTATTTTGGGGCATCAAAATCCAACTAAGTGACTAAAAGATTATGACCACAAAATTTGTCTCAGGAGTCAAATGTTCGTTGGCCTTAAAAATAATATGCTCATCATTATCAATCAATCAATCTCTTCTTCATCCCAGGTTTGGAATGTCAAAGAAATAATTTTCAGTGTAAAACAGTATAATTCCAATTTAGTCTATGTGTATTCCCTTTGTTTTTAGGTATGTAGTTTCCAAATAGGGTCTTTGGTATAAATTTGATGTTTTTCTTTTAAAGTTTCAACATAGTTTTCATTCATTTGATGTGATATGTCAATTCCCTTTATTCTCATATATACTGGAGTGCACTGGCTTTTGGCTTCTTAAGTTTCCTTTGCCAAAGACAGTAATTAATAAATGTATTTAACCTGATTGTCATTTTCATAAGATACCCAATTAAGAGAAACAGACCTATAAACCTTAAAATACCCAGGTACCTTTCTTTTTCTCTATCATTCTAATTTATGTAAGTCCCTTAAATTATCAATTGATTAACCAAAATTCCCTTTAAAAAAAATTGTGTAGGCCTGAATGAAGCAGCTTAGTGAAACAGTAATACTGACAAGACATCTTACACCATTAGCTAACATGGACATGAAGGCAGTGACCATCTACAGTGTGTGAAATGCCACAAGAAGTCATCAACAAGGGAGGAGAATTATGTCAGTCCAATCTCTTCAAGAACACTACGTGGGGTTTCAGCTTCCTGTGGAGGGAAAATGTGAGACTCTGGTAAGCAGATGTGGGGTGGCTTGAGAATGTGAAATTGACATAAGACTTGCAATTTTCAGAGAAGGAAAGCAGTTCAGTTGTATGGGCGTGTTCTGTGAGCCAGTGGTTATTTAGGGTTTTGTATCCCATACATTGGAAGCCACAGAATATTTTCAGCATGCATATTATATACATATATATATAATTTTTAAATCTTGTTGAAAGTATTCCATTGATTACTGACCAATAATTGCTGTAACACAAAAAGCAGTCAAACCCATTGGCAATTTAAAAAATCATTGCTACTGAATTATCTATCTACAGGAAAGGTAAGTTATCCTAGTGGTAAAATTCAACCCCCCTCCCCCTAAATAAAAAGCAGGGGAAAACCTGAGTTCTCCCAATTCTTCACATTGGGGGGGTGGGGGGGGATGTCACATGTATTTATAGAAATGTCTTCCTCTCAGAGTTTGTACTGTTTTTCACTTCAACTGACCCCAGCAGAGCTTCAGAAACTCACCTCTTCAAACCTCCCCAGGGCAACCAGACTTCAGTGGAGGCAACATACACACAAAGAATGTTCTGGGATAAAAGGCAGTGTTATCATATATAACAACCAATACTC